TCTACCTCACATGTGGGGAAAGCAAGGCTGAGGGACACATGCTCCTTGCCTGGCCAGCTCTTTCTTTCTTGCCCTTCAAGAAAGAGCTTGTCATCTCCTTGAAGAAGCATTCCCTAACTGCTCATCTCTAAAGGAGATAAGCCACCCAGCTATTTTCTGCCAACATACTTAAATTGTTCTTCCTAGAACTTTACACATTTGCAATTATACATTTGTTTGTTTACATGTGTATTATTTGTCTCTCCCCAGGGGCAGAACTGGGATTTAGAGCCGTGAAGTTTATAAGAACTATGAAGCTTACATGTGTGGAAGTGGGGCTATTTAGGTAAAGGAATATAAAATCACAAATACAAAATCAGTTACAGGATCTTAGAAGGGAATAGTGCAAATGAGGCCCTGAAGTCTCAGTGTCATTTGCTTGGCTGGAGGTGAATCCTGTCTCTCCCCCTTAAATACCCATCCCCATGAGGGCAGGCCCATCAGGGGGCCTAACACATAGTAGGTGCCCAGCAAATATTTGAAGAAGGAAGAAAAGCCCGAAGAGTCACAGTGGAATGGAGAGGGGCTGGATGGGAGCTTGGGAGATGACCACCCCTCCCCAGGGCAGACAAAAGATGGACAGAAAGAGGCCTCTGGAGGCAACTCTAAGCTTGGTGGCTGTGACAATGGAACACTGGCCCAAACCACTCACCAGGTGATCCCGGATGAGCCTGGTTTCCTCATCTGGAAACTGCACTTGGCCATCCTGCCTGCCCCTGGGCAGCCTTTTCTACAGCTGTCTGTTTGGTGGTTCACACGTGGCCTCACCAAGGTGTGTACTGGGTCATTTTCCTCTGTGGTACCAAATGCTAGCATGCTAATCAACTGACTATTTATGTGTTTGCTTTTTGTCTCCCTCATCAGTTTATAGGCTCCCTGATGGCAGGGGCTTCGTTTTATTGCTGAACCTGAACCCCTTGCACAGTGCCTGGAGCATGGCCAGCATGTGGTATTTATTGCCTAATAGACTGTGGTTTCCGACTTTATAAACCCACTGTTATTTACTGCCCTCCATGCGGTAGGGCTCTTTATTGAAGATGAGGACAGAGGAGACTGGACAGAACAGTGACTTGCACAAAGCATTGGGGAATAGGCCTTCGTGATTCTAGGGCTCTGCCCTTCGCCCTGGTCTAGGCAGCTCCCTGGGGGCTAGGCTGGGTGGAGCTGGCAGGAAGGGATGTTGAGATTGCCAGAAACTTGCCAAGAATCCCAGGCAGAGGGCACTGGGGCAGGGGCAGGCCCACCAGGGCCATGGGCGAGGACTGGGACAGAGGTAGGGCTGAAGGGTCCCGTTGTCTGGGCACCAGCCCTTTGCCCTAGAGAGCCACTGGGCAGCTGAATCAGGCCTGGATTTTGGCCCCTGGGGACTGAGCAGGGCAATGGAGGAAAGAAGTTGGGGGGAGGATGGAGGAAGGGTGAGGTCTGGGGCCTGGGAAGAGTAAGGGCTTCTGCACGGGAGATGCCTGGGTACAGGTGAAGAAGGGGGGCCAGTGAGTGTAGCCAGTTCCCTGAGTGTTCCCACCAGAGTAAACTGTACCCGAAGGACTGACTGTAGTGTGCCAGGCACTGATCTCTTTATGTGCTTTATGTGAAGTAACTCATCTTATCCTCCCCAGGATGCATGAATAAGGACTATTATCACCCCTTTTGGCAGATGAGAAGCCAGACCCAGAGAGGTGACGTGCTGCCCAAGGTCACAGAACCAGCAAGGATGGTGGATCTGAGTGTTGTTCCTTCTCTCTGTCATGTCTCAGCTGTGTGCTTTCTGGGTGGTCAGGTGTGAGTGTGTCTGAGGTTCACATGTTTGTATGTACGTACATAGGTTCGAGTCATGGCCATTATTTGTCCTGGCCTGTGTGTGTGGGTGGGTGTGTTGACATTTTTTCTCAATCTGTGCGTTTTTCTGTTTCTTGGCATATCTGAAGGCATGTTTTTATGCACGTGTCATAGTCTGCGTGTGTTTTTCTCAGCCTGTAAGAGAGACTGTGTGGGCATGTGTATGTATGAGTATGGATATATATAGATATTTGTGCGTGCATGTGTGTGTGTGTGTGTGTGTGTGGTGTAAGCATCACTCCCCATTTGCTCAAGCCAGAACCCAGGGAATCATCCTGGCCATCTCCTCTCCCCATCTAATCCATCATGAAGTCCTGTCCACTCTGCCCCCTAGAAACCTCTGGAACCTGATCCTTTTCCCAACCCCCTGCTCCCATATCTGGATAACTGTAACTCATTACAGTCTCTGATTTTGCCCGTTTCAATCTTTGCTCCACATAGCAGCCAGAGGCTCTTTCTAAAACACACTCCCAACTCTCAACAGCCCAACCCCTCCTCTCAGGAAAAAGCCCCACATCCTGGACACGGTCTCCTAAAGTAGAGACCCTCTGGGACCCATGTCCACCCAGCCTTTCTTCTTCCCCTCCCTCGATGAGCGACCTCTGTGCTGTAATGTGCTGCTTTCTTGGGCCTCAGGGTTTCTGCCCATTCTGTCCTCTCTGTCCTCCCTGCCCCCCTTGCCCAAGCAGCCATCCATGGGTCCAAAGTCACCTTCTTGGGAAGCCTCCCTCATACATTATCTGAGGAATTTCCCTCTTGTATACATCGTAGTTTATAATTATATCTGGTTTGTGAGATTATTTGATTAATGTCTGCATCTACAGCTCCAATGTGTCTGTCCTTGCCACCAAGAGCCCAGCCCTGGCCTAAATAAGTGTTCAGTGAATGTCTGATGAACGAATTTGTGTGAATTAAGGTTGGGACACAGCAATTTTGAGCTCACACACTCCCTGCCCTCAGGAGGCTGGGGGCAGCTATCTCTTTGCCCTCACTGGCCAGGTAAGAAAACCCAGGTGACCTTGTTCCCTCAGAGTCTCAGTGTCATCATTTGGGAAATAAGGTGATCATAATGACACTATTGTCATCAGGTTACTGGCAAGATCAAATTGATGACTAGGACTGCACCAGCCAGCCTGGATGCCCTTGGGGCAAGGGGTGGGGAAATGATTCACCCAACTGAGACCTGGCACCAGGGCAGGACCTCAGGAAATGAGAGGCAAATCTCAGAGCTTGGGGGAATGAACCTTTGTGAGTGGGCGGGCCCATGGATTTGTGAGGACTGGCTCAGCCCTGAGCAGGAAGTCCTGCCCAAGAGGATTCTGACTCCTCATGACAATCCCAAGTGCAACACGATGATTATTGTCCCAGTGTTACAGTTCACGCATTCCTTTACTTATTAATTCAATAAATATTTAAGTGTCTATGTGCCTGGCATAGCAGGCTCTGGAAATGCAGGGTAAACAAGGCAGACACAACCCCACTCTTAGGGAGCCTGCTGTCTAATGGGGGGTAACTGTATTCATTCAAACTTCACAACAGCCCTACAAGTCAGGCACTCTTATCATATCCATTTTATAGTTCAAAGAGTTGAGGCAGGGAAGGAAGGAGTCTGTTGCCCAGTGTACCACAGGTTATAGCCTGAAGAACCAGGTCTCCAGTGCCCATGTACTTAACCAAGGTCTGTACTGACTGCCTCTGGGCACTCTGTCCTGCTTGTGATGCTGTTTTGCTATCTGACAGTCAATGCCCTTGGGCAACAGTCTGAGCCTGTCTGAGCCTGCATGTGCAGCTGGAGCCAATTCCAGTTCTATCCTTGACAGGGATGAGCAATGCAGAGTTTGGGGTCTCTGGGGCCCAGGGGCTAAGCCAGTTTCTTGTCTGCACAGGAAACTTTCCACAGGCCCTCATTTGGATTGACAAATATTCAAAAACTGAGCAAGGAATTACTGCCAGCCCCTGCCCATCTCCATTGGACTGTCTTTCAGTTAATAATGTGGCACCCTAGGAACCCGGGTGACAGACCTCCCTTCTCCTGAGGGAGAGCGCGGCAGTCAGAAACCAACCCAGGAACCCCTCGTCCTAGAAGGAGTGGGGGCCCGGATGTCAGGCCCCAGGGAAGGGGGGCTGAAGCAAGCAGGTGACCTGACAGGAAATGGAGGGGCTGAATGAAGGCTGGGAGTACCGGTCTGGCATTTCCCTCTCTGGGGCACCTTTCCTCCTACCTTTCTCTGACTCACTCCTCAACTTCCTCTTTGGGCAACAGCTTATAAACTTCTTCCCTACTATCCTCTCAGGAGTGCCTGAGACCTGAGAACCGGGCGCTCCGACCATTTCCCAGGTGGGAAACACTGAGGGCAGGAGTTGCCCACGGCCACACAGCGAGTGCGGAGCCAGAGCGGGAACTCTGGCCCAGAAGACTCGCATTCAGGACTCTCCTCCCATGACAGCAGCGGAGCGTCCGGCAGTCTCTACGCTGGGGGTACAGTCCGCTCTCAGCATCGCCGCGTTCCCCCGCAGAGAGGCCATGGGCCAGTCCACGGACTCCCCTACTTCTCGAGCCGGTGGGTCAGTCCACTCAGTCCCCAGTCCCCCGCAGGATGTCCAAGGTTCCTTCCGGGCTGTTGCCGGCCCCCGCGTGCTCACCTTTGGCCTTGATTTTTCGCCATCGCCGGCGGCTTTGCCTCTTGGATCTCTCTTTGTCTTTCTTCGAGGCCCGGTCCCCAGGGGCCCCGGCGGGTCCCTCTTTCCCGGCTGACTCCATCAATTCTCCTCAGGTCCCCACGGGGACCAATTCCAAGCCCCACGCCCCGCCCCGAGTGCCAATCCTGTTTACACAACACCGCCGGGCCCCCATACCACCCAATCCTGGCCTTGCTCCGCTCGGGGTCCCGCCCCCTGGACTATCCGGGCCTCACCCCACCGCCGGGCCCCGCCCCCAGCTGCCGGGGCCTAAGGACTGGCCCCGCCCCCTCATACGCATCAAGGACCCGCGACCGACAAAAAATGCAGCCCTGGAGGCGGCGCAGAGCGTCCTTCTTCAGTTGGGACTAGTGGGGAGTCGCACGGTTTCTCCCTAGCGCGGAAGCCTCGGTCGGATCACTTGCTGGTTCTCAGCCTTGCCCGCCCACTCACCTTCCCATGTGGGGATCCCTTAGAACGCCACCCGGCCCGCCCGCTGGCGGGGAGAGCGAGGCGCCGCGGAGCCTCCCCTTGAGGACAGGGGGCGGGCCAGGTCCTCGGGCGATTCAAAGTCGGGGCCGGCGCCAGCGCTGGAGGCGGGCTCTGCCTGCGAGCCATTGGAGGAGGAAGCCCTTCTCCCCGCCCCCTGCCTCCTAGTTCTCTCATTGCTGGGTTTCTCGCGGCTCCTTTCTCTACCTTCTCCCTCAAGAATGACACGGAGAGGCAAGGAGAATACTAGGCGCCTGCGTAGTAGCCCCAAGACGCTGTCCAGGGGCAGAGAGGGGCGGCGGTAGGAGAGGCGCGCGCCCGGGAAAAGGCGGGAAACGGTGGAGGCTCGAGGCTCGCGCATGCGCACACGTTCAACGGCGCTTGGGCGCTTCAGGAGAGGCGGCCTGGTCGCTCCGGGGCTTTGGGGGCCTAGAGACACAACCCTTCACCCTCAGCACCGGAAAAACGCCTGGCACCCTCTCTCCCGCTCCATCCACCCCTCCGTCCCCCCCTCCCAAGGCCTACCGCCAGCCTTGGCACCGACACCAATGACCTTCTCATCCCTGAGGGGACGGGCCAGCCCCTCGGCGGGGAGGCCTCTAGGCTGGGCCGCCGGTGCCGGCACTTAGCTTCTGGAGTGGGGCTGCCCGTTTCCCCGCTTCCGGCTACTTCAACAAGCAAACCCCTCATTCCAGGGAGAACACTTGATGCCTGCTTCTGCCTGGCAGGGCTTTGGAGCCTAGAGAATGGGGATGGGAGCTAGACCCGTCCCCGCCCTCCCCCACTGCTTCAGAGGAGGGGAGGGAGGGCAGGCAGCCATCACTCCCCCTCCCGCTCCCCCAGCTCTGCCTTCCTCTAGACCCGCCCTTGTCTGGGACTTGGCAGACCCCAGCTCCTCTCCTAGGCTCTCCCTTCCAGAGCACACCCCATAAGGCCTTCAGGCCTGGCCGGACTGGGACTTATGTGGGGGGCCAGCCTGGGAGGAGAGCAGGTGTCCTGCTGCGGAGGGAAGACCCGGGCAGCTCAAGGATGGCTAAGGCACAGACGTCGCCGAGTCGGGATGGACACTCCCGGAGGTTAGTAAGGGGCCCCTTCGGCCTGTGTCTCTGGAGCACACTCCAGCGTCTGTCTCCGGATTGTGCTTCAGTGGGTTTGGGGAGGGATGGATGAATACACCAGGCTTCCCTGTTGTTCTGGCCCCTGGCTCAGAACTTTTCACACTTCGATTTACCCCAAATCCTTGGAAGGAAGGCAACCTCGTTGGCTTTGAATCCTGGGCGGGCCACTTCCCACTGCCCCCCTCGTGTCAGATCCTTTACATCTCAAGGCCTCGGCTTCCTCATCTATCAAATGGGGCTGTTGATCTTTGTTTCACAGAACCTTTGAGGGATCACCTGACCTGACCTGAGAGACAGCTCTCAGTACTTCTTCTATTTAAAAAAAATTTAAGTTAAAGGGTAAAGGAAGGACGCGTGGAGCTTGGGAGTGAGGAAGCTAATGGTGACGTGCCTGGGGAAGGGACCAGGGAAGGGAGAGGTACTGGCTTGCTCCCGGGATGGAGGGTCTCAGTACTTCGTGATGAATGAATAACCATCCCTGGGAGACCCCGTTCTCCAAGCGCAACTCACCCGTGTCCCAGGAGTGCCTGTGGTTCTGGTTGCTGGTTTTCGTCTCTTGGGCTGATGTCCCACCAGAGCCTGACATCTCTTCATCACCAGGCTTCTCCTTGAGGTCCAGCTTCATCCCCTGGACCGTGGTTCCATCCTTCATGGCTGGTGAGTCCGTCTTGAACGGATACCCCGGATCTGATTCTGAGTCAAAATCTGTGATCCACTCAAGAAATGTCTTCCACTCCGAGGCTGGCCGCTGTATGGATAGTTCGTGAAGTTTTGATAGAAATCCCCACTCGCTCAAAGATCCCCGCTGGGACTTGTCTGGAGCTGTTTGCTGGCCTATAGGGTCTGACTGTCCTGCTTTCTCTTGGGACATAGGTTCAGTTTGGGAAGGAGGTGTTGATCCAGCTTCTTGTTGAGCTAGAGGTGGCTCTACTGGGCCAGGTCCTGGCTGAGCCACTTGTTCCTCTTCCACTTCTGACTCCTGTTGAGTTCTAGATTCTTTTTCCGTCCCAGGTCCTTGCTGTGAGGGAGCTCCCTCTGGAGTGAAGGGCACCCTTTGGATGGGAGGTGATTGCTGTGGTGCAGGCTCCTGTGGGGCAAGGAGTTCCTGGTGTAAAGTGGATTTTTGTTGGGCTCTAGTTTCTTGCTGGGATTCAGCTTCAGGTTGGGCAAGGGACTCCTGCTGAGTGAGGGGTCTTTGCTGGGAAGCAGGCTCCTGTTGGGTATTGGGTCCCTGCTGAGTCGTAGATGCTGGCTGTGCTGTGGGTGTCTTTTCTGGGCCAGGCTCTGGCTGGGTGATAGGTATCTGGTGTGGCTCAGGTTCCCAGTCAGGACTAGATACTGACTTAGAACCTGGGTCCACTGTTGTTAATTCCCTCATGGGAGATGTTGCTCTCCCAGGCTTCATCCTTCTGGCCCCCACCAGGCCTCCTTTGTTACAGATGCCTCATTGATTCCTCATGATGACACCTCTCTTTGGGTTCCACTCCTTTATCCTGGCATTTCTGGTCTTTTTTAGGCAGTTGGCAAGTGGGCTGACCACTGCTGGCCCCAACTCCTGTGGATTAGAAACAGGAGGAGGCTGGTTGCCCACCACTCTTCTACCAGAGGGGAGGGGCTTGCCCTCTTGTGTCATAAATAGGGCCCCACCCTACTCACCACTCAGTTAAAATGCTTTTGTTTTTGTTTTCTTATAAGGCAGCATCCAACTTAGTCCTCTGGGATGGCAGAAGCCAGATTCTGGATGAGTGTTCCTTTTTTTTTTCTTCCCTTCTGATGTTTGAGGAAAGGATCAGAGGGGGAAGCTGTCTTTGTACTGCAGTAATAATCTTTTCCTCTTTATTTATACTTTCAAATGGTTGCCAGTTTAATTTCCTTATATTGTTACTCTATAATTTCACTCCCATGTTAAAAAAATGAATGATGTCCTCTCATTTGTACAGCTTGAAGCCCTTTTCAATGGTATTTGAGATCTTCCACACTATCTCTCTAGCTCTGAATCTATGGTTCTGCATATATGTCTTCTGTACTAGTTTGGAAACTCACAGAGTACAATGACCCTTGATGAAGATGATGATGATGATAACAACCACAAATCCTAGAGGTGTTCTATATACTAGAAAATTACCTAGTATATAGTTTTTTAGACCTATATTATCTTTAACTAGAGGCCTGGTGCACGAAATTCATGCACGGGGGCGGAGGGGTCCCTCAGCCTGGCCTGCACCCTTGCACAATCCGGGACTGCTGGCTCCTAACTGCTTACCTGCCTGTTTGCCTGATCGCCCCTAACCACTTGCCTGCCTGATCTCCCCTAACCGCCTCTGCCTCAGCCCCCGCCACTTCATCCGGAATGACGTCCAGAAGGTCGTTTGGCTGTCCGGTCTAATTAGCATATTATACTTTATTTATTTATTTTTTCTTTTTTTTTAATTAAATCTTTATTGTTCAGATTATTACATTTGTTCCTCTTTTTCCCCCCCATAACTCCCCTCCTCCCAGTTCCCACCCCACCTACCCATCCTCTGTCCTCATTCACAGGTGCATACTTTTATTATTATAGATAAGACCGTGTCTGATTCATTGGTATACCTGTTTTCTTTGTCCCACTTACCTCTTACTCGGAAAGGTTGGTTGAAAGAGTAAAATAATAAAAAATTTGACAGGAAAGACACACACACACACACACACACACAGCGCTATTTGGTGTGAAGAAGTATGTGTAGATGTAGATTCTGGGTTGAATTTGTAGCTAACAGGGAAAAGTGGGTCATCTGGATTGAATGCGAGTTGCTAGGCCCCTTTTGAAAGAAATGATTTTGACCTATTATACTCTTTTCAAAATATATTTTTATTGATTTCAGAGAGGAGGGGAGAGGGAGAGAGAGAAACATCAATGATGACAGAGAATCATTGATCGGCTGACTCCTGCATGCCCCCCACTGGGGATCTAGCCTGGAACCTGGTCATGTGCCCTGACCCAGATAGAACCATGACCTCCTGATTCATACATAGGTTGACCCTCAACCATGAGCCACATTCACTGGGCCCTATTACATCTAAAATTATTTATTGACTTATGTTTGCTACTTGCCTGGTTGTATTTAAGGTCAGATGGAACCAGCTAGGGAGCCAGGATTCCTGGTTTCTTTCAGGTAATTAAGTTTAAATGAAGCCTGAGTAATGAGAGGGTACAGGAAAAGACTGACAAGAAAAAGCACTAGAGGGAACAATAATCAAAATAATCTTGGGAAAAATGCTTTTTGAGAACCCTGAAATGATTTAGAGGGTGGGGACAAGGAGAGGGAGTTGAGGTGGGAGAAGAACATTCTCTTTTGACTAAGAATGTTTCATTGGGAGAGCAGGCTCTCAGAGTTCCTATAGAGGCAGAGTAAAGCTTGCTAGCTGACAGCGTTTGATAAATTGCTGGCAGGCTCTGGAGTGCTTGTTTGGCTTCCTGTGGTGGCTTTGGTGCCCTAGGGTGAAAATAAAGGGGAGACACCAGTGTTAAAAATTTTTTAAATTTATTTTTATGAGAGCTTTTAAAATTATAAAAGTAAGACTCATCCAGTGGAAAATAATTAAAATAAAAACATATATGCAGTAAAAAATGTAGAAGGACAGCTCTCCCCCAATTCCCACTTCCCATTCCCAAGAACAAACTACTGTTAATATAGTTTCCCATATCTTTTTGTATGTAAACTATTAAGTTTACTTTAAAAAATAATAATGAGCCCTAGCCAGTTTGGCTCAGTGGATAGAGTGTCAGGTAGGGGCGCATGTGGGAGGCAACCAATCTATGTGTCTCTCTCACATTGATGTTTCCCTCAATGTGAAATTTTCCTCAATATATATATATTCCTAAATAATTTAGTTTAATTTTGCCTATTTTAAAATATATTTTTAATTGATTTCAGAAAGGAAGAGAGAGGGAGAGAGAGATAGAAACATCAATGATAAGAATCATTAATTGGCTGCCTCCTACACGCCCTCCTAATGGGGATTGAGCCGGCAATCCGGGCATTGACCGGGAATCCAACTGTGACCTTCTGGCTCATAGGTCAACATTCAACCACTAAGCCATACTGGTTGGGTGACACCGGTGTCATTTTTAGAGATCAATGATCAGGTCCCCAATCTCCCTCCACTTTGATAAGCAATGGGGTTCTAAAACTAAGACTTGGTTAAACCTCTCTAGTATTAGTAGAATTGTATCCTGCTTTTCTTCCTCTTCCTGTTTCTCCACAAGTTGACACTAGTAGAAAGCACTGAGATGTTTATCCTGGTCTTCATTTCACCTCTATTGTCTGTTCTCAGCCCCTGCTTCATTCCTAGTTGATTACACTGAGTGACTGGTTTAAGAAGTTTCATTCTTTTGAAACTTACTGTTTTTCTTCATGTTGCCCTTCAAATGATCACAGGGACACTGCTTTTTTGGAAGCCTGGGCACTGCCATGAGTTTTCTTTTAGGAGCTCTCAGGAACCAATCTGAAATAACAGGGTTGGTGCTTTGATGGGAGGATTAGCATGTTTGAGAGTAGGGAGTAGGGTAGGACTTTACTTGCCATCTTTGCTTTTTTTTTTATACTGCAATGGGATGGGGAAAAGGGTCAACATGGAACAGTGGAAGTATCCAGTTATAAATATACTAGTGGCCTGGTGCATGAATTTGTGCATGGGTGGGGTCCGGCTGATTGGGCCAGGCTGGCGGAGGGGGAGAGTGGGAAGGGGATGCGGGAGGTTGGCTGGCTGGTCCTGCCCCTGATCAGGGTAGGGGGGCGGTGATCAGGGACAGGGCTGGCCGGGGGGAGGGGCCTCGGGTGGTTGGTCAGCTGGCCCTGCACTGCCCCCCTTCCCTCCAGTCGAGTTCTCGGGTGAACTCCTGGCATATTAGGCTTTGCATATTAAGCTTTTATTATATAGGATTTCTGAGCATTTTTTTCCTGATGTGTGTTAGCAAGAATTTAGTGGCAGGTGTGGAGAAGGCAGCAGGATATCATTAGGGAGACTAGAAAATGAAGAATAAGACATAGGTGTCAGCCTTCCAGTAGCTGCTTTACCTGGAGCAAGCCATTTTGCCTGATTTCAGTCTTACCTGTGAGTAAAATAAGGTTGAAAATAAGATCCAGGAAGCTTTTGGAAGGTGGCCCTGGGTTCTTAGGGAAAAAATAAGGGGGAGTTGGCAGGCAGAGATTTAGACCTTGGAGGAGTCAGGCCTTCTTAGGAGACTCCAGAATAAAACAAGTGTTGCTGCATGTGGTGGGCTGGTGCAGATAGGAATGGGTAAGTCAGCTCAGCTAACTTCTGCACTGGTCTCAGGGACTCAAGGGAGAGGATTGGGGTATCAATGGTGTATCACTGTTGTTGAGACTGAGTTACTGACCTTTGCACTCACATTCTTGGCCACCTTCCTGGAGCCACCTCCCAGAAGCCTGGCGTTTGTCCTTGTGGCCTCTGGCGACTCCTATTGAAAGTAAACAGGTCACTTCCAGACACTGAAAGGAAAAGGGCCAACAGAAATGATCCCCCAGCATTGTGCTACCTAGTTTTAGCTCAGTTCCATTTCTTTTCCTTTTTTTCACTTAGGGATCTAGGAGTATTTTAACTCAAGTACTGAAGAGTATTTTAAATGGATAAGGAATTGAGGTTGAAAATCCAGCCTAGAGAAAAGTTTAGCTGGAGGTAAGTAGAGAAAGAATGACTTCTGGATGGAAGAGAGGACAGAGATGGGGCTTAATCAAGACCCCCCCCAACCCCCCCACCCCGCCTCAACACACACAATAAAATCTTCATAACTTAAGGAACAAGCAGATTATTCCATAAACCCGTCAGGATCGTCACCTGACCTCTAAGTTTGGTGTATTTGAATCCCTAATCCCAGCCCAAATATAAAAATATGATATTTACCTTTGCTCTCCTGGAACAAAAGCCATTCCTCTTTTGGCCTCTATTCAGGTATGTCTTATCACCTGATGCTTTTTTATTCCCATTTTGTGATAACTAAAATATTTTCATGATAATCAAGGATGATGGTTTATATATAGACTTGAGGTTCTGGAGCTAGAACCAGGCCAAGGTGATTATCCTCTGTATAGTTGTTTTGGCTATTCCTGTCAGAATTAATTATTCCTTCACATGGTTCACCATCATATTTGAGTGCAGCTCTATTTTTGCACCATTATAGTTTTTTGTTTGAAATCTGTTGTGAATTGAATTGTGTCCCTTTCAAAATTCTTGTTGAAACCCTAACCCTCAATACCTCAGAATGACTGTATTTGGAGATAGGGCCATTAAAGAGGGGACTGAGTTAAAATGAAGTTGTTTTGGTGGGCCCTAATCCAATCTGACTGGAGTTCTTACAAGAAGATTTCTGAACACATAAAGAAACACTATGGATGTATGTGTACAGAGGAATGACCAAGAAGAGGTCCATTTGTAAGCCTAGGAGAGAGGCTTCATAAGAAACCAAACAAACTCCTAGCTTCTAGAACTGTGAGACAGTATTTTGCTACGGCAGCCCTAGCAAACTAAAAATCTTTTTCCCTTCTAGACTCTGAACCAGTAGCTAAGTAGTCATTCAGTTGCATGTTCCTGACACATGGTAGGCACTTGGTAAATATTTGTTCAATAGTGAGTGGATAAGTTGTATAGAGAGGGCCCTTAGAGATCATCTGGTTCAGTTCAGGTCTCCTGTTTCCCAGACTTGTGCCCTTTCTACCACCAAGATGGAGGGTGTTGCATCATTTCCTCAAGTGCTGGTTTTTAAATGTTTTTATGTGCTGTTAAAAGTAATTTAAACAGACATAGCCCCTGCCATGTAAACTTTTCTAACACTTTATTCTCTCCTGACTTCTCCTAGTTCCAGGGAAAAGCCCCCGAATATTAGCGCCAGAGGAATCTTGTTTGGATCTCTTCATTGAAAATTTTTTTGTTTTTTCATTCTAAATGTAATATAACTACATTAGAGAAAATTTGGAAAGTACAAATAAAAAAATTTTTATTCTAACCAACTGTTGGTATTTTGGTATGTTTCTTGCATATATAATTTTCTTTATATAGTGATAACCATAGTACCGGTATGTGAACAAATTTTTTTTTGTTTACTTTGTAAGCATGTTGCAATGTCACCTGAGGATATTTTTTCATTGATTTTTTTTGTTTTTGTTTTTAGAGAGAGTGGAGGGGAGGGAGGAGATGGGGGGGGGGGGGAGAGAAACACCAATGTGAGAGACACATCAATTGGCTGCCTCACTCATGTGCCTTGACTGGGGATGGGGATCAAGCCTGCAATCCAGCTTTGCGCCCTTAACCAGGAATCAAACCCACAACTTTTCGGTCCTTGGGCTGATGCTCTAACTACTGAGCAACCGGCTAGGATGACATCTTTGTTTTTAATGATGGCATAACACTCCCAACAAGTATATGTGCTCCAACTTATTTAACTGTTCTTCCATTGCAGAATATTTAGATTGCTTTATTTTTGAATATTGATAAATTTGTGTGCTTGTAACTATTTTCTAAATTTTGTATTATTGTCTTGGGCAAAATTTCCTAAAATGAAATTTCTGGATCAAAGTTAAGAACAGATCTATGTTTCTTGGTATCATTACTAAATTGCTTTTATTTTTTAAAACATTTATTGATTTTAAGAGAGAGGGGAGAGAAAACATATCTATTGTTCTACTTATTTATACATTTATTGTGTAAATGTATAAATACATTTATACATTATTGTAGAGGCCCAGTGCATGAAATTCGTGCAGGGGGGTGGGAAAGGGGTGTCCCTCAGCCTGGCCTTCACCCTCTCACAATCCGGGAGCCCTCGGGTAGGGTCCCTAGGCCTGGCCGGCGATCAGACCTATTGGGGCTTTCCTTCCTCCAGCTGCCAGAAGCTGGCTCTGCCCCTGCCGTTGCCACTACTTGCCATCTGTGTGGCACTGTCCTCCCTCCCCCCCCACCAGTTGCCTCCCTCTGTAGGCAACAGGTGTGGGGTGCGATTGCTTGGCTGGCCTGGACCTCCCTCTGCGGGGCAATCACTGGCTGGCCCTGCACACCTGCCACAGCATCACTGGCTTGTGCCCTGGGCCTCCCTCTGCGGGGTGATTGATCCCGGAGCCCCCTCATCGATCGTTCCGCAGAGGGTGGCCTGGGCCTCCCTCTGCGGGGGGGGATGATGGGGTGATGGTGGGGCCCCCTGACCAATCGCATTGCACCTGCCTTGGCTGGCCTGAGGCCAGTGCATGTCATAGCGTGGTCCTCCGGAAGGTCATCTGGATCGTTCTGCTGTTCGGTTGATTTGTATATTACACTTTTATTATTATAGATTATTATTTTTTAAAATCCTCACCCGAAGATATTTTTCTATTGATTTTTAGAGAGAGTGGAAGAGAGAGGGAAAGACAGACAGAAATATCGATGTGAGAGAAGCACATTGATTGGTTGCCTCTTGTAGAAGCCCCAGCCGGGGAGGAGCCTGCAACTGAGGTACATGCCCTTGACTAGAATCGAATCTGGGACCCTTTGGTCTGCAGGTCAATGCTTTATCCACTGGGAAAAACTGGCTAGAGTGGTTGATTCTTTTATGTGCCTGGACTTGGGATCAAATTTTCAACCTTGGTGTATCAGGGTGATGCTCCAACCAACAGAGCTACCCGGCAAGGGCCTCAAATTGCTAATGAAATCACTATCTCTCATTTTTCAGAGGCCCAGAGAAAGCAAACGAAAAGGCCATGTTCATAAAGGTAATGGAGACACATCTAGAGCTAAAATTCGGGTCCAAGAGTTGTATTTTCTGCAGCCCTATTTGACTGTAACATCATGGTGTGACTAAAAATGAAACTGTATGTTTGCTATAGCATTTATGGACTACCTTTATGATTTTTGCTATAGCTTGTACCACCTCTACTGTTTACTTCATACTTTTTCTTTAAATTTAATTTATTTAAAAACAACCTTATACTGTGGAATATTAATTATGAGGTTATGGGTTTGATTACGTGCTTAGGTTTTTTCTAACATGCATTAAATTAAACATAACTACTAAAATAAAAGCCACTTTATGCTTAATCTAAAATTAGTTTTGAAAATTACTGACACAGTGGAATAAGCATGGACTTTATATCCAGTTGGATCTGGTGTTAACTGCTTGCTCTGCCACTTAACTATGTAGTCTTGGACAAGTCACTTAGCTTCTTTGATTGTTGGTTTTCTGATTTGGAAAATGAATAAATGAGATACTATGAGTGCCAGTGCTCAAGCAGGAGTTCAGTACATGGTAGTTTGTTTTTTTTAAGTCCTCACCTGAGGATATTTTTTCGTTGATTTCTAGAAAGAGTGAAATGGAGGAAGGAAGAAGGGAGGGAGGTAGGTAGGATGGGAGAGAGAGAGAGATTGGGAGAGAGAGAGATTGGTTGTCTCCCTCACATGCCCCTACTGGGGCTGGGGAACCTGCAACCTGCAATCTTGACCAGAATTGAATCTGAGACCCTTCTGTCTGAAGGCCGACACTCTAACCACTGAGAAAAACTGGAACTGGCCAGGGCAATCATTTTTATTGTGGTGGTAATTGCTGACTTCTAGTTAATGCCCAAAGAGAGGGTCTATGCTGGAATATTAGGCTTGTTACTTTTTGCTGACTTATATGTGTAAAGAAGCTATTCCACTTGTTAGGACTCATGGTAAATCTATCATTATTTTAATTCCTTAGTTCCACCACATATTAGCTTTGTAATTTTGGACAAGTTGCTTAACTTTTCTGTACTGAATTTGTAGAATGGGACTAGTAGAGCATTAGTGTGTATATGGATACAATTATTTCCTGGCTCTATCTACTAGAGAGCCTAGAAGCAATAGCACCTAGAAGCAATGGGCAATTCTCCTATGAAAGAAATCAGGGCTCCTTGGAGAAATGGCCGATTCCTGACCTGGGGCAGGTAAATATAAGATAAGCCTGAAACATCTTGTGGTGTCAGGACTGCCAAAAAATGGTATGTTAAAAAGACAGCTCAGCCTGTGTGGCTCAGTGGCGACCCATGAACCAAGAGGTCACTGGTTTGATTCCCTGTCATGGCACATGCCCTGGTTGTGGGCTCCATCCCCAGTAGGGGGCATGCAGGAAACAGCTGATCTATGATGTCTCTCATCAATGTTTCCATCTAGCTATCCCTCTTCCTTCTTCTCTCTCTAAAATCAATAAAAATATATCTATAATAATAAAAGTGTAATATGCTAATTAGACTGGATGACCTTCTAGGCGAAGCTGGGGTTGCCAGGGAAGCCTGGGTCCCGGGTGCCAGAGGGAAGCCGGTGCCAGTAGTTGGGGGAAGGAAGGCCTACTCTTACACAAATTTCGTGCATCGGGCCTCTAGTAAAAAAATTAAAAGACATAGAAACCAATTTATAGGAGCTCTCAATGGCTAGTTTTGGGACAATATGAACAACATGATAAAGAATGATAGTAATGGATTATATAACCATAAATATTCATGAATCTTTACTTACATTAATAAATAATTGAATAAATAAATGGGAGAGAAGGAAAAGTTCTTCCTTATAGAATTCCAATTAATACATGTAGAAGGAATGATGGAAATAGAAAACCACCATTTGACTAATGGCATAGAAATACTTGTTGTAGGTAGGAATCATCAATGAATTTGAAAAATTAATGGTCTCGAAAAAAAAAATAAAAAAAATTAATGGTCAAATGGACATAAGACACTGGGGGGTAGGGGAGGCTGGGGGAATGTCAAGCAGGGTTGGGGGGGAGGAGACATATGTAATACTCTTTGTAATACTTTAAGCAATAAAAAAAAACAAAAAACAAATATTTCTTGAATATTAAAAAAATTAATGGTCAAAAGTATGATGAAAAGAAACAGGCATTTACAGAGTCTCAAAGTATCTCTTTACAAGATACAATGGCAAAAATAGTAACTTCACAGTAGAGCAATCTGGCAGACACCACCTTAACCAAGTGTTCAAAGTAAACATCACCAGTAATGAGAGATATTGATATCATGGGCCTTCAGATGTGGTGTACTGAGAAGGCATACATCACTTTTGTGGTGTTCTTGCTAAAAATGCATAATCTGAACTTAATCATGAAGAAACATCAGACAAACCCAAACTGAGGGAAGTTCTTCAAAATATCTGATTAGTAGTCTTTAAAAGTGTCAAGGTCATGAAAGACAAGGAAAGCTGAAAAAACTCTAGATTAGAGGAGACCAAGGAGACATGATAACTTTATTCAGTGTTGGCTCTTGGAGTGGATTCTGGACTAGGAAAAGGACATTAATGGGATGATTAGAAAATTTTAAATATTTGTACATTAGTTAATAGTGTTGTGTCAACATATTATGGTTATGTAAGATGTTATTTGAAAAAAACTGGATGGATATACTCTGATTAGTTTTACAACATTTTTGAAAATCTGAAATGTGAAAAGTTAAGAATTTACAAAATAGGTTATGCCTTGCATATAGGAGTGTCAGCTAATATTATAAGTAATTTTATAATTAACTAGAGGCCCAGTGCATGAAATTCATGCACGGGGTTGGGGGGAGGGCATCCCTCAGCCCAGTCTGCACCCTCCCGCAATCCGAGACCCCTTGGGAGGTGTCTGACTGCTGATGGACCAGGCCTAAACTGGCAGTCAGACATCCCTCTTGCAATCCTGGACCACTGACTCCTAACCACTCACCTGCCTGTCTGCCTGACAGCCCCTAACCACTCTGCCTGCCTGCCTGATCTCCCTTAACCACTTGCCTGCCTGCCTGATTGCCCCTAACTGCCTCTGCCTCAGCCCCTGCTGCTGTGGCTTCATCCAGAATGACATCAGGAAGGTCATTCAGCTATCTGGTCTAATTAGCATATTATGCTTTTATTATTATAGATAAGTAATTTTATAAATAATGAGTAAACTGTTATAATAAGTAATTTATTTCCTAACATTCTCTATATTCTTACTTATCTTACCCCCTCCTGTCAAAAGCATATTTTGCCTGTATGT